TTTTTTTTTTTTTTTTTTTCTTCTTTATCTTCCCTGTTAATATTCTCGTGACGTTGTTCCCTTTTTACTATCTTTCTCTTTCTCTTTCTCCTCCTCTTTTCCTTTTCTTTTTTCATCACTTTCATTTGCAATTATTCAGCAGCTTTTGACATGCCCACCCGCTTAAAGAAGACTCGTCACCAGCGTGGTTCCACGTTCTGTGGCTATGGCCGTGTAGGAAAGCACCGCAAGCACCCTTCTGGTCGCGGTAACGCCGGTGGCCAGCACCACCACCGCATCAACTTCGACAAGTACCACCCCGGATACTTTGGCAAGTGCGGCATGAACCACTACCACAAGAAGAAGAACGCGACGTGGAAGCCGACGATTAACCTGAACAACCTCACGAAGCTGATCGCGAAGGACGAGGTGATGAAGGCAAAGAAGGGCGAGGCTCTGCCCGTTGTTGATCTCCTGGCCAACGGCTACTCCAAGCTTCTTGGCAACGGTCACGTGCAGGCTCCTTGCATTGTGAAGGCCCGCTGGGTGAGCAAGGTGGCTGACAAGAAGATCCGCAAGGCTGGTGGTGCTGTTGTGCTCCAGGCATAAGGTGAGTTGACTGTCATCAAGCTGTTATTGATTTTGTTTTAATATTTTATTTCTTCTTCTGCGTGTTTTTTTTTTTTTTTTTCGAATACCTATTTTGTGGTGGTCAGAAAACTGTGTTTATTTTTACTTTGTTGGATTTTCTGCATTATTAGAATTAAAAAAAAAATATTTCTTCTCTTCTTTTTTCTTTTTTTTTTTCTCTTTCTCTTCAATATTTTTGTTTTGTATCTGCCCTATGTGGATGTTTTTGTATATATTGATACCAATATATAATTCTTTTGAAGATTGGTCTCTTTTCAAGGCATACTTTTTTTATTTATTGTATTAATAAAGCCAGTGGCCATTTAAACTTGTATAGTTGTTTTGGAATATGGGAGATGATGAGGCTTTCGCAAATTTGTTTGAAATTTTAGAGGTTATACGGGTAAAAGGAATTGCAGTATTTGCCGATAGTCGTGTAGCAGAGAATTACCGTTGTATGGAAACGTTCCATCTCTTATCAAGACCACCTCTTAATGTTTTTGCAGGGGAATTACTAGTACGAAAAACTTTTGAGACATTTGCTAATACTACTATTGCAATATACCAAAAAAATATTTCTCAAGGAGAAGAATTATTAGCGTTACGTTCTTTACATGATGATTATCATCAAAATATGCTTCTTCTTAATGATTGGTGTAGAAGATTGCATGTAAGAGAATCTGTGGCGAAGTTTACTGTTTCATTACGTTGTCATTTGCTACAGCCTGATCTTCTTACGGGTGAACTTCCTGCAGGTAAAGAATCATTATTGCAATTCCTGCGTAATCACGGTAGAAAGGTATTAGCAGATATTGAAGGAAACGAGGGTCGATCTACATTAGTTCATGGGATTCTTGGTCATCGTGATGAAGTTTTTCAACGATTACATGGTTTAACTTTATCATCAACGCAAGATATTAAAGCATTATGGAAGTCTGTTTTAGTAAAATGTACACGTGAGCGAATTGAACAACTAGATGATGATTTTACAGTAGCACGTATATTATCTTGTATTCAATGGAAAGATGATGTTGTAGATACTTTTGTACGAATGGCGTTATCACCAGATCCTAATGACTCAGATGTTCGTGCAGAGGTAAATCGTTGGTGTGAAGAGTTGGAACAACTCCTTTTACTTAGTTATGGTCGTAAACGAATTGCAAGTTTTTGGGATATAGTAGTGGAATATCCTGATTCTACACCTACACTGCAAGATCTTCGTTTGTGTCTTCAACGTTGTGCAGATGATACACTACGAGATGAGTTAATACAAATAGCGAAACGAATGTTGGCATCACGTTTACATCGAGCAGGAACTCGTACAGAAGATATTCTTGCTATATTAATTGGTACAATACATTCTCTTTGTGTATTATTATCAAAGAATGATCAAAGCTCTGTAATATTTACAATTGTTGGGGATACACTGGAACACTTAAAAAAGCGAAGAGATTGTGTCTCTGCTGTTGTTCAAGCTATTACACATCCAAGTGCAGACTCTGTTCTACATGTTGATTTACAAAACTATTCAAGTAATACTTATAATCCTGGTAATAGTGGTGATGGTACTATGGGTGATAATAAAAATGATATTTATAATGAAAATATGTTATCAATGTCTGGACAATCACCTCTTTCTATGCAAGAGAGACCAGATGTTTTGCGTGTACTTTTGTCTGCAATTAGTGTTACCTTACTTGTGGAGGAATATAGACAAGTTTTGGCTTCTCAGTTACTAGGTAAACGTATGCATGACTTTGATACAACGGCAGAGGAAGAAGTTCTTGAACGTTTAAAATGTGCCTTTGGTGAAGATGTCTTATCATCTTGTGTAGTGATGATACGTGATTTTCAGTGTTCTCGTCGTTACACACATCAGTTAAGAGATGCCTATAAACAATCCGTATTAGAAGGATTACCATTGAATAAACAACGGGATTGGCCTTTTAGTTTAAATGTTCTTTCTACTACATCTTGGCCAAAGTTATCATCATGCCTTCCTATTGGAGAGACACAACCTGTTCCGGAGAAGTATAATCCTCATCCATCGCTGAGTACGGCAATGGATAACGTATTGGAGGATTATAAGCGTATGAAAGCGAATCAACGTCTTGAGTGGATTCTCTCACAGGGATGTGTTAGTTTAGAATTAAAACAGAAAGATACTTCTACAGGTACAATAGTTGCCGTAACATATGATCTTTCACTCTTTTCTGCATCACTAGTTTTGTATATTCGAGATCTATCGAAGGAGTTAAATTCTCCTGTTCCGTTGGAATCAATTGCGGAGCGTATGGGGGTTAAACCACGTATTTTACAATCTCATTTATCACATTTATTTCCTTCTATTTTGATATCTAATGATGGTTGTAAAAGTTTATCACTACAGACAAACTATATCTCAGCATCTAGTTTTACATTTGATGAAGCAGAAGAAATTGAGGAACAACCTGCTGGACTTTCACAAGATCAAGTAAAGATATTACTATCTATGATGACAGCAATGCTTAAAGCAAGGGGTGCATGTGGAGTAAGTGATATATTTAACAGTATGAAAATGTTTGGACAATTTCAAGGAAGTCTTGAAGATATGAAAAAATTACTACAAATGTTCGTCACACAGGGTAAATTAGTTCTGAATGAGAGCAAACTCTTTACACTACCAAAGAGCTAAAGAGTAAGCATACAATATGGGAGCTATCCAAAGCTACAAACTATATATATATATATATATATATATATATATAATATATATATATAGAAGTTAAGAGTAGAAGAAGAAAAAAATAATAGAAAAATATTATGTGTTGAATTTGCTAAATATATATATATATATATATATATATTCTCTATTGGACTGAATCATGCGTTCTTTTCCTTATTCGTACCGCCGCATGTTGAGTTTTTTGTTTTTATTTTTACTTCTTGCTGTTATAGCTATTTGTATTTCTATTACTATTTAACTTTTTCTACTCCTTTTTTTTTTCTCCCCATCTTCCTCTGTGTTTCTATTTGTGTAATGTGAGATCATCATACCGATTGCTTTTTTTTTCTTTTCTTTTTTTCTTTTGTTCCCCTCTTCTTCTTATTTTTTAACTGCGGAAAGAGTACTATATAGTTGTAGTTATCCCATGAAATATGAGGAACGCATCTATTCCCTTTGCGGCACGGCAACACTTTCTTGAACATGGATATGCCATTCTCCCTGCGGTGCTTCCAACTCCAATTGTTGAGCGGCTTAAAGATGCGTTGATTTCCGCTACTGTGGCCCGTTCTCGCTGCCTTATTGATGTGCCAGATATTGAATCCATGTTAAAGTGCAAAGCAAAACTCTCTGATCCACTGTACGCCAAAGTTGTAACTCGACTACAACGACGAAAGTATTTACTTCGTTTATATCGTGCTGAGAAACGACGTAGAAAGCAATTATCAGAGATAGCTGCAAAGTTTTTAAATGGACGAAAGAAGGAAGATCTCACTGGAGAGGAGTTGTGGAAGTTAAGTGAAATATTGACAACTGAAGTTTCAAAAATGTCTGGAAAAGGATGTCAATCTACAATTCAAAATGATCCTCAAATGCTTAGGGCCATAAATGAATATCGTTGTAATGTATGGATGACAAATAAAGAAATACAAACTTTAGTGCGTGACTCTTCTTTTTGGAAACCAATCGGTTCCATTGCAACAAATGTGGGTGGTGTGGAACGGCCTGTTTTATTTAGTGATGCTCCCATGTTTCGTGAACCGTACGGGAGTCCTTTTGGATATCACTGTACTGCCCCTACTTTTGGGGTTAAAACAAATAGTCGTCAGGTGCATGCAGTAACTCTCCTTCTCTTTACACATTCTCCTAATGATTATCAGATGCCATTATATATATTAAAGAATTCCCACCGTTTTGTACGGGAACAATATATTACACGTGTTCCTCCTGTAGATTTGTCTATGCCATTTCTTCCCATGGAATCTCACATTCCTGAACAGCTAAAACGTTTTAACTTTGATAGTAGCGTTGTCGGTTCCCTTGTTGAAGGAGCAGAGAATATCACTCCTGGAACTATTATTGCCGTCGATCCACATCTTATGATTGGGATGGGGCCAAACGCCTCAACAGAACGTGTTGTGGTGTATAAACTCAATATGGTTGCTGAGGATGCACCACCATTTATGAAATCACCATCATGGGTAACCGGCTGGCGATCACTTCCTCGGGAAGTGAATTTTGCATCACCGATAGTATTTCCACCGTTCTTCAGCGAAGAAACAAATTCCACAGACGCACTCTAAGACTTGTAATAGATTACAGGAAGATTGCATTTCTTTTTTTTTTTTCTTATTTTTATTTTTCGCCCAATACTGTTATTATTATTATTATTATTATTATTATTATTATTATTATTATTATTATTATTATTATTATTATCACAATTATAATAATGATGGTGTTATTGGTGTTTCTTTATTATTGTGTGTTGTCGCTTAAATATACTTTTTATCCCCCCATCTTTGCCCCCTTCTAATACTGTGTTTCTTTGGGATGTATATTTATCTCTTTCTTTCTGCGATGTTGATAAAGAGTAATGGATTTCGCTTCTGCGTTTGCATTTGTTTCTTCTTCTTTTTTTGGTATTATTAGCTTCCTTATTTTTGAAGCATTAGCTCAAAACTTCCTCATCTTAAACATAAAGAGAAGGAAATAAATTAAAAAAAAAAAGAACAATAGAAAAAAGACGGCATAGATTTTTTTTTTTTTTGGTGTTTTTTTTTCCTTGATATTTATTTTTTTTTTTTCTTCTTTTTTTTTTTTTTGTTTTTTTTTTTTTTTTTTAGATTGCATGAATGCCAACATTGAGGAGTTACAGGGACGTCTAGCGGCGGCAGAGGAACGTGTAAAAAAGATAACACGGCTTATGTTGCGTTCGGTATGGCAATACGTCATACAGCACCGTTCACCTCTTGCAGCTCCGCAGACTACCCTTAATATGGATGCCGGTGATGCAAAAGGTTTGAAAACTATAGTATCACATCAGCAGAATAGACGGAGCGGAAAAAAAGTAACGCAAGAAAAAAAATCCAATAATAGAGTCGTAGATCAAGCAAGATTGAGTCGAGAACTGTATCGTACAGCTTTTGGAGCGGCTCGCCAGGAGATAGAAGATGAAATAATAACTGTAGATTTGAAGAAAGAAAACGAGAGTGATGGTGTTCCATCTGTAGCCTTACTTTTACTACAGTCTTCCCGTGAACGAGCCATCATGCATGTATTTCTATTACGACTTCGTTTAACAGTTTGTAGACGACGTTTTCTTGATACCGAGTGTAAGATTCGGTATGACTACTATAGACTTCGACGTACACTTCGTGCGTGGCATAGTTACACATGTGAGGTTGCATGCAGGCGTCGAAGGATCATTTATACCGTTTTGAATCACTGGATGGGACTTGTTGAGTGTCGTCGGGTCCGTTATGAGCGCCTGTGCCGATTTCGCCTCGGCTTGGCGGAAAGACGACGTGCGTTTGATCGGGTGCGGTGGATGCGAATGCGGCGGTGTTTTGTGCACTGGCGCCATCGTCTGGACGATCGCCGTCTGTGGGGCGGCCCGACAACCGACGGCGCTCTGAGTCGAGAAGGGGAGAAGAGGGCGACGGAGAAGCAGAAGGAGAGAAGACTGCGATTTCTCTTCGCGTACTGGCGTCGGCGGGTGGAGCGGCGGCTGGACACTCGTCTCGCGGCGCTCATCGCCACCCGATCGCTGCTGCGGCGTTCGTGGGAGAAACTCTGCCGTCGCTCTCGTGCCCGCGTGTTGGGTCCACGCGAACCGCCTTGTGTACATGTGGAATCAACATCAATGGAACTTGTTGGGTTTAAGGTGCAATGTGCTCAACAAGTAGCGCGGGGAAATTTAAAGAGATGTGTGTTTGTAAAGTGGCGTAGATGTTATCGGTGTAGAGTGGCAGATCGATTTTATATCTTTTCTCGCCGTGTCCGTGTTCTGGAGACGTGGCTTCAAGCACTTCGTCGGAAACGTGTGGCACAAGTAGTTTTGGGTGCTTGCTGGTGTCGTTGGCGTCAACGATATCATCAACGATTACATTATATTGAAGCACAATATTGGAGGCATCGTCGTCTCTTACAGAGTGTTTTATATACTTGGACCAATAAGACCGCTTCTCGCATTTTCCGAAGTCAACATTTATTACAATTATGCTATCACAGATGGTGGCAACGTGCAATATTGCAGAGAACTCAAAGAGAACTGAGTGTTGGTGTCAAGAAGCGTGCGTTCCTCGCCTGGCGTGATGTGGCCGTACGTGAGAAGGAATATCGTACCATGATGTGTCTTGCAGAAACACTTCGTGAATTGGTGCTCTTGATGGGATGCTTTCGTCGGTGGAAAAGGCGTCACGAACACGCGTATCGTGTGCGTCTCTCTGAAAGTGTCTTGAATGATTTACGCCGAGAAAAGCAAAGAGCGCAACTGTTTCAACGTTGGAAACGCTTAACATTTTGGCCACGTAATACTAACAAGAAAATTAGTTAGTTCTGTAGGGCAAGTCATGATGAGCCTTCGATTCTTTTATCTGTTTGTGTACATTTCTTCTTGATTATTTGTTTCTTGCTCTTGTTTTTTTTTTTTTTGTTTTGTTTTTTGTTCTGTCTGTATATGTGCGCCTTTAATGTCTTTTTTTTTTAGTGTGTACATGCTTTGGCAATATTTTCTTTTTCTACTGAGTAACTAAAAAAGGGAGTGGAGATTATTATTATTATATATTTTTTGTTTTGTTTTGGTTTTCCTTTGTTGCTGTTTTTTGTTTTTCTCTCTTTTCTTTTTAATTTTTACAAATATCTTTTTTTTTCTTTTCTTTTTTGGTGTTTTTTTTTTTTGTTGTTGTTGTTGGTTCTACTAAGAAAGCCAAACCGGCGAAAAAAAAAAAAAGGCTAATATTGCGTAAAGTCCAACATAAAAAAAGGTAACTTTTCCAAATATAGCAAACAATCGAACGAAACAAAAAAGAACAAACAAACAAACAAACAAACAAACGAGAACCATTAATACCACAAATTCAATATTGTGCATCTCCCTAAGGACTACAAAAGAAATAACAAGACGACAAAATGTCTATGAGATTATCTGAGCAAATCAGCGAACATGATGCAGGGATTGAACTGGATCGTATGAAGGCAGCTATTGAAAGCTATGCCCAACAACTGGAGGACATTGACAATGCTATTCAAACTATTCAGGATGAGAACCAGAAGGACGAGGTTTCGCGTCAAATCGTTGACTACCAAACGGCGTATGAACGCAATCCCGCGAGTATCCCAGCAGAGGACGCGTTAGACACTATCACTCGTTTGCAAAACACACTCAAAATTGTGAAACGCCGTAATCACCTTCTTGCAAGAGAGAATACTACACAGCAGAAGTTTTTGCAGGATCGCTCCAAGTTTCTGCTACGTGAGACAGATGCCTACAATACCATGGTGGACAAGACAGGATGGCACGAGCAGTACATGGTGGATCATGATGATGTTCAGCAAAAGGGAGAGGATGTCAAGGTGATGGCGGATCTCGAGGCGAAGGTGCGGCGGGAACTGCGGGCCGCGCAGTCTATCATCAAAAAGAAGGAGGCGCTCGTTGTTGGGCTCGAGGCGCAGGTGGAGCGTGGAGAGGAGATAGACACCACGTTGAATATGATCTTTAATGATATCCGTGTGAAGGAACGTGATGCACGCGAGTTGGAGATTCAACTTGAACGACTTCGCAAAGACGACAAACGCTACGATGATGCTCTCACGGTATTTGAATCGCAACAGCAGAATGCATCACTGGCGTGTGTTGAGACCGATCGTGATTTCTTAAAGGATGCCGTTCTGGAAATGAAGGCCGTTTGTCGCCGACAGGATAACGTCATGCGGGCACAAATGACACGTCAGCAGCAACTTCATGCACGTCTTGACACCATCTTTAAGTCTCTCCGTGAAATGAGACTAGAGGAGGAGTTCAAACGCAACGTTCCAAAATCCGCTCTGGTGCCTTCTGCCTGTCGTGAGGAGCCTGAAGACGTTTCTAAGATTCTTCCTGAAGAGGAATTTATTCCCATTCACACGTATCGTCTTATTCACAAAAACAATGAGACGATGCGCACCAATGTGGCACGAAAGAACATGCTGGTGTTAGAGAAGGAGGGAGTTATTCAAGCGCTAGACGCAACTCTAGCAAAGTACGCAGACGCACTAAACATGACGTCAAAACAACAAGAAGAACTGAAACATAACAAGGAGCTTGAGATGGACGAGCTCACAACAGAACTTCAGGAACAACATCAAAACTATCTGCGACAACTTGAACAACTAATGCAGGAGAACGTGGAACTCAAGAAGAAGCTGAACCGATCGGCCCCTGCGATTTCGGCAATCAAAAATTACTAGGCAAGAAGAGCGAGAAAAAAAAAAAAAGGATGATAGAGAGAGAGGGGGAAAAAAAAAGAAAGGCAGAGAGGGAGGAATAGAGGAAAGGAAGAAAGAAATATGGAACGAGAGTATCCTCAAGGCAGCTTTGTAAATTTGAAAGAAACCGGGAAGAAAAGACGTATAGTATTAAATGGTGGAAGATTGGTGGGAGTCCTTTGGATCTGTTCAAGCAAAGCAGAAGAAAAAAAAAAAAAAATTGTGCACAAACATACAGGATAAATTTTCTTTTTGTTACCTTTTTTTTGTATTACAAATTATTGTCGCACTATTTTTCGGTATATATATATATTTATATATTTTTTGGGGGATTTGCTCTTTTATGTTATGATGTAGTGGAAAATGAGCTTCCCACTATCCAATTTTAGTGTTTGACCAATCCGCCATAACGTGCAGAATCATATTAGCGACAATAGTCACCACTTTTTTGAAGGGTACTGTTATCTTTTTTTCTTTATTGTAGACAACGCCTCTCTTCTTCCCTTTCCTTTTGAAATCTATACATACATACATGTAGGAAACTGTCATCAAGTAAAGGAACACAAAAAATAAAAATAAAATAAAAGAGCAACGAAGAAGACCATTTACATAAACCACCTCAATGTGGTTCTTTAATAGTTTTGGTGGAGGTAAAAGTAGTGGTAGTAGTAGTAACGATGAAGCTGGAGTTAAACGAGGAGCTGTGTCTTCATTTCCTAATACTGCCGATGCACAGAAGGAGGTACTGGAGCACAGAAAAGGTGAAGAACATGGAGATGATGTTTTATCATCGTCGTGGTTGCACCGCTCAAGAAGCCAGCAAACTGCTGTTCAGAAAGGTGATGCTCGTGTGGGTTTCTTTGACACGGATGCTATTGATTGTTTAATGAATCGTTACGGAACAGAAATGGCAGCAGCTGACAAGTATATGAAAGAGAAATGCCAGAAACAAAAAAACGAGAAAGGAATTCTAAACCTGTATGACTATGAAGGAGACCAGCGGTATAAACAATGGCTTATGGATCAAGAGAATGTTCGTAAAGCTCTTAATATACACTGGTTAGATATGATCATAGATAAACCTATGCTTTGCTTGACATACTTAGCCCGTATCGGTACAACTATAGGTTTTTTCTACGGTATGGGGCGTTCGTACTATCTATACCATACAATGGATAAAATGTATGCCAAACTCCATGGAGTTAGTTTTTTCAACATTGCTATGTACGAGGTAAGTTTTTCAGTTGTTAAAGGTGCTATTGTAGCAATGTCCGGAACTGTAGGAGTCATCGCTGGTGAAGCTGCAATGAACATAACAACATCTTTTACTACTGGTGATATCTCTGTTCCAGAACGTACATGGAAAAATATCTGGTCTTGCGGAACACTATGTGGTTTTTTCAGTGGTACAGCATTTAGTGCACTACATAGATCTATATTGACTAGGTGGGGAATGATAGCATCCGTCACTGCTTTCACCACTGTTAGTTCTCTCCTTAGTCTAGTAGTGGGACGCTGGACATACCAAGAGTATGCGAATAAAAGAGGAAGACGTCTATATGACCCCTACTGGCGTCCTTGGTATGAGCGAAAACTTAACGACGGCGGAGCATCATACATGCGTGGGAAATATACTTAACGACTATCGAACACAACAGTAAAAGAAAAAAAAAAAAAAAACGCAATGCGAGGGCAGAGCGTGGGTGAGGTGCATTGGTGCTGGCCATGGGATTAGCAAGGTGTCATAGTCGCCCTGATTGCCTTTGTCCCATCTCTCTGCTTATATAGATCTTCTGACTTTCTAATGGAAGCCGGTTAAGTGGGGTGTTTATTTCTATGAAAGGTTAGAGGTTGTATGAAAACAAAACAAAAGAAAAAACGTTACAGGTTGAGGACGGTTTTTATTTTTTTCTTTTTCTTGACTCTTTAGGGGCACATGTACGCGATTTTACCCAAAGGTTTCTCAAGTTCTGTTTTCCACATGTTTTCTACAGTCATGTGTGATTTGTGTGTGAGTCTATGTGTTGTGCGACTGTGAGGACACATGAGTTATGGGAGCTGCATCTTTATAGCTGGGTTCTCTTTTTCCTACCTGTTTTTTTTTTCCGTTTCACAGGGGTTTCCTTTCTTAATGTGCAAAGATAAAAAGAGCCGTGATGAAGCCAAGAAAGATGACTCTAACACACAGGCGTTGGATACACTAGTTAGCTTAATTGGTGTTGGTGTTGTTGCTGCTGTTGGTGTTGTTGTTGGTGGTTTTGTTGGTTATGTATGGGGTTCTTCTTGTAGCGATGACGGACCAAATGGGAATAATGAGGCCAACAAATTTCAAGAATTAAAAGAAGAAGAATACAAATCTATGGGGTCAGAAGGAAAATGTTCTGTATGTATGGAACGGAACGCGCGGGTTTTGTTTTTACCATGCAAACACTTGGCGACGTGCACCACTTGTGCCGAACGACTTGATCGACGTTGCTGTCCCATGTGCAATCAGCCTTATGCAGAAAAGATTAATGTGTTCACGACATAAAGCTTCAAAGACTACAAACTATCCGTCTTTTATGGTTTCAGATCGTAATCTAATCCATCTATGAGTGACGGACAGACGAAGTGTAACGCTAGTTAATTTGCTTTTCAGTTTATCAACTTGTTTTTTTTTCCTTAGTGGTATTTTTTAGGGAACCGATGTGGGGCTCCTACTTCTACTGGGGATATCTGAAGAAAGAAATCCAAATGACGAAGATTTTATAACGAAACTAGGTCTCTGCATCCCTTTGAACCCATCTGTTTTCTTACTACCATATCCACGGGCCCAGAGACGTATGTGTGTGTCTCTGCCAAAGATTTCAAGGTTCATTTTTCCCTTCTTGCCATTGTTTCATTTTTTCTTTTCCTTTTTTTTGTCTCTGCCCCGTATTGCATTGCGTTGCAACAGGAGCCTTCATAATCATTTTTCAAACAACAGTTAATAACAATCAGCCACTATAATATGTCCTCTCGAGTCCACGCGTACTTGTCTGACACATGGAACCGTGATAAGGTCATGGCGATCGTGCAGTTTCTCCCGATGGCGCTCGAGGGCCCCGTGAGGAATGCCGGTTGTGAGCCGCTTGCTGCGTCGCTGGGCAACCTGTCGAAGATGGCAGACGCATACCGTGCGGTGACTCGTCTCTCGCTGCTCTTCAACGCACTTTCGCCCAAGACACTGGAGAGCTTGGCGAAGCCGAAGGAAGACGCCTTTGTTTGGCGCCTTGAGCAGATCTCTCACGCCTTCCATATTGGTTTCTGTCTGAACGAAAACCAGGCTGTGCTGGCGGGTCACGGAGTGCTGAAGAGTGAACTGTCACGCCTTGGCGGGATTGCCGTACTCTGCTGGCTGTACACACTGATTCTCGGCATTGTCCGGCAGGTGTATCTGTTGATGAAGCACAACCCCAACTGCCCCTGCAAGGCCCTCGCACCACACAGTGCGGTGGGCGAGAAGAAGGTGGTGCCGTACACGCACGAGCAATGCAAGGAAGCTATTGTGAATCTTGTGAAGATGGGCTGTTTCACTGTGTTTGCAATGACATGCCTTCCCGAGGGCAAGCCGCAGCTGCTGACTGACGTGAGTGGCCCCTTCGTGCCGTTGCACACACTCATCAAGACGATTTCACCAAACAAGCTGCACCTGTGCGACAGTGTTCGTGGTTTGCTGGCCTTTGTCGCCTCTATGTGTGATTTTTACTAAATTTTCATCTTTTTGTTGACAGTTTTTTTATTTTAAATAAAACGGCCAATTTTTTTTCTTTTATTCCACGGTAGAATGTACGTTTTTTTTTTGTGAAGTTTTTTTTTGTTGTTTTTGTTAATTTAGGCCAAATAGAGTGTAGTTAACAGATCAACGAATGAATTCAGGATGTTTGTTTTTTAGTAGTATCTACTGCGTTACGGCAAATTCAAATTTTTTTTCTTTTTTAGTATTGGGTGGTTAAAACAGGTATGAGATTTTTATATAATTTCTGATGTTTGCGATGAAGAATCAAAAGAATGAAAATAAGGTTCATCCATGGTTTTAAAAAAGATGAAAATATGTTCTTTTTTTTTTGAGGTCGTCATGTTTTTTTTTTTTTTTTTTCTTGGTATTCGTCTTTTCATGATAATATTTTCTTTTGTTTGTTTTTGTTTCTTTTTGATGTATGGATTATTATTATTGTTATTATTATTTTTTATTTTTTCCTTGTGTTTGTATTCGTGTTTCTAGCTAATATACATATATATATATATTGATAGATAGATAGATATATCATATAATATAATAATATTATATTATATATATAATTTATTTTCAATCCGAGCGGATGAAGTATCCTTTATGTGATTCATCATCTTCGTTAATTTGCACGCGCGATCGAGTTGCGGCTGTAGGGGAGTATTCTTCTCTGTTGGCCGCTGGTCTGGCAGAGTCAGTGGGGTTAACACAAGTGCAGCGTTCTGCTAAAGCTCTTGCCGTGCTATTGTCAGAGTACCGGAGCATAACGCGTGTATGGTACTGGCTTGTTGTTGTTTCAGATCTCTCACCTGCTGGTTTGCGTCAATTAATGTACAGCTCGCCTAATTTTTCTGTTTTTGCTGCAAGTATTTCAAGTACAGTGGCTATGGCATTGTTTTTGTTAAGTGAAGAGGTGGCTCTTTTGTCAAATGTGGGTGTTTTACAAAAGAGTTTGCGCCCATATGTTTCTCGATTGGTACCTGTTTTTCTTTTCTACTATAATCTTCTGAAGATGATGGTAAGCGCTGCGTTGCTTTGTACTGCACGTCGTATATCTTTTGAGGCCACGGACACACAAAGTGTATTACGTCGGCGTCGTTACAAGGAGATGTTTATTAGATTCTTGGAGGCTTTGTTATGTACACTTTATGCGATGTTGCTATTGCCTACAGATGCACCTCGCCTCAAACAGGCGATTCATGAAGGACGCTGGATCGACCGTTTGTACGTTGTGTTGGTCTCTCTTTGTCCTCAGGGAATACGTGTTAGTTCTACAACGCAGGGAATCTTGGGACTAGTTTCAACCATTCCCATGTTCTGTGTATCGTAAAGAAGGAATTTGGTGTTTAATGGTACTAGTTCGGATTGTATAAACCAAAAGCTATGATTAATATGTGCATGAGTAAGAGGAAAAAAAAAAAAAAAGAAAATACATCAAGTTTGTGTTTTAGTAGATGAAAGAATAATCTAGTTTAAACTGCACATCACGTTGAGGTGAAGAAATTTGCAAAATGTGGTGAAGAAAATATTCTGCATAAAGTATGATGTTCGCAAGCATAGTATTAACATTTTTCTGCATAATCTGCATTCACCATTTTGGGATTCCCACTGTCATGTGCATATTCTCATATACAAAGAAGGGTGTGAATTATTTTTTTTCTTCTTTTGCAAAAAGGATATAACGATAGAAAGAAAAAAAAAAGGAGGAAATACAAAAAAAAGGACAATGATGTTTGATCATCAAGACAAGTCAACTTTTTTATCCATTGGGCGGAAAAAACCACTTCTTCCGATTATTTCACCATCCCTCATGGTAGCAGACCCGACACAACTATTGCTGGACTCATTGTACGTCTTGTGTGAAGAAGGTGGTGGCGTTGAATGGCTGCACGTTGATGTGATTGATGGCCACTTTGCACAAAACATGTCTTTCTGTCCGGACACTGTGGCTGGATTGCGTCGTCACCTCCCGCACGCCTTTCTGGACGTTCATCTTATGGTAACGGATCCTGGGATGTGGATTAAACCCTTTGTAGACGCCGGGGCATCGCAGCTGACTTTCCATCTTGAGGCGGCAAAAGATCCCGTTGCGGTAGCGAAGAAAATTCGTGCGGCTGGTATTCAGGTCGGAGTTGCCATTCGCCCACGGACTCCGATTGACGGACTCATTAAACTCATTGATGGTGGCTACATGGATATGGCACTCGTAATGACAGTGGAGCCCGGATTCGCCGGACAGAAGTTTATGTCGGAACCTCTTAGTAAGGTGAGGGAACTGCGTAAACGCTACCCTTACTTGAACATTCAGGTGGATGGATCTATCAACCTTGATACCGTGGAGGCAGCGGCAGAAGCGGGCGCCAATTGTTTGGTTCCAGGACAGGCAGTTTTTAAAGCGAAAAACAGGCGCGAAAATGTAAACCAATTGCGTGGTACTGTTCAGCGTTACTTGAAAAAGTCTCATATGTAGGCTGACGGTTTGATATTGGCTGAAAAGGGAAGCAAAAAAGGAAAGTAGAAAAAAAATGATTGAAGAGTGTGTTTGGATGATGTGTGTGTGTGTGTGGTTGTTACATGTAATGAAACGAACGTAGTTTTGACATCATATATATATATATATATATTATAATGGTATTCATTGTTATTACCCTGGCCATCAGATGAAAACTGTTGATAGCTTGTTAAAATAATGGTCAAATCTTACGTTTATTACTCAATCGTTTTTTGGTAGTGGAATTGAATGTTTCGTATTATTTATTTCTTTTCGTTCTCACAGTCTACAAACGTGGGTGTTTGAGAATCCACTTAAACCAACCTAACCCACACCGCGTTGAACAGGAGTCGGTTTTTTTTTGTTTTTTAAAACGAGGGGTTCTCAATACTTTCATTTTCATCAGTTCTGTTATTTATTTAGTGAGCACGCATCGGGGAAAAATATAGGGATGCATGTGTGAAAATGGGGGAGTGCAGACTTTACTATATTAAAGTCAAGAAGTTTGTTTTCTCATTTCTGTTTCTCTTTTCTTCTTGTAGGGCGAAAGAGAGGCTTAAACTATTTTTTTATTTCTTGTACATACCATTTCCTTCTCTCATGGGGAAAAACAAGAAACAGGCTCCTCAACTATTATTATTATTATTATTATTATTATTATTATTATTATTATTATTATTATTATATTATTATTATTATTATTATTATTATTATTATTATTATTATTTATTTTATTATTTATTTTAGTATTTATTATTTTTCACTTTTATTTTAATTTTGAAGTGGTTTGACGAATTGGGTATTAGCTGCTAAAGCCTTTCTTTTTCTTTTTCCTACAGTTTTTATAACTTTCATATAATTTCCAGCAACAACAGAAGCAAAGTAAATAATAATAAAAAAACATCAAGCATAGGGATGCCAAGTTATACTCATCAGCGTATTGCTACCACCATTGCAGACCTAAAGCCAAAGTTTTTAAAAGCCTTCAAATTGAATTCCGAGAATGAAGTTGAGTGGCTTTTATTTACCTTTGCACCTGGTCGTGTGAATTTTTTTGGTGAACACGTGGACTACATGGGTGGTTATGTCTGCCCTGCTGCTCTTAAAGAGGGATGCCACATTCTTGTTGGACGGGTTCCGAAGTACTGTGATGGAAAGTTGCGGTTTGCGACGGAGGATTGTAAATGTTTTGTGTTGGACCGACTTGGCGCGGCACAACACGACAAGACATGGACAACGTTTGTGCGGGGAGCGGCCACACTGGCACTGAATCATCTTAACATGCCCATTGATGCCCCACCGCTGCAGGGATTCTGCGCCATTTCAAAGGGAACGCTGCCGATGGGATCTGGCATGAGTGCCTCCGCCTCTTTTGACGTGGCACTACTGAACGCCATCACCGCAGTGGCTACGAAACGATATGAGCATACACGCTATGTGCCTGGTATGGAGTATCCGCGACTTGTGCCGACCAGCAGGGAGGAGCGTATTACGTTAACAAAACAAGCGCATCGCATTGAGACAGAGTTCTGTGGTGTAAATGTGGGTATTATGGATCAATTTGCCTCCATTCATGCAAGCGAGGGTTCATTTATGGCTCTGGATTGTGACACATTAACCTTTACATCGCATTCTATGGAGCATCTTCTTGGAGATTCTGCTTGTTTCCTGTTGATAAATTCCATGGTTCGCCATGAACTTACTGGGGATACGGCTGGTGGATACAATACTTTGCGCAGTGATGCCGAAGGAGCACAGGAGGTGGTAAGCAAGAAGAAACTGGATGGTGGGTCTTTCAGTTTTCGCGATCTTGCCAGAAATCCAAAGAAATTTACAGATGGTCATCCTGTGGAATTTGTGGAATCATGTAAATCTCATTTTACCCCTGGCCAGTATGATCGTGGTATTTTTAACATTGCCGAGCAAATTCGTACACTTGAGTTTATTGAACTCTGCCAACCACATTCCCCCTTAAGTAAGGAAGAACGTTTCCGAAAAGCTGGAGAACTACTGAATGCGACGCATCAAGGACAACGTGATCTCTTGAAGATTTCCACAGAAGAGTTGAACTTTATCCAGGAAAAGGTGAATGAGGATAAAGATGTAAGTGGTGGCCGATTGATGGGTGGAGGTTTTGGTGGTTGCATTCTCCTCCTTTTGAAGAAAGACGCTGTGGACCGTGTGGCGGCTAATGTGCAGAAGGAATTTAAGGGAAAGTTTGGTATTGTCTGTGAAGTGTACACTGTTACTTTGGGTGATGGTGCATTTATCGTTTCCCTGTATGAAGGTAAAAAGGGAAAACTCTAGGGTTTTCCTAATAATTTCATTTTTTGATGGTTTTTATTTCTTTTTTTTTTCGTTGTTGTTCTTGTTATCATTGCCTATGATGTTATAGCAGCAGTTACACGAAATTGGGGAAGGAAGAATAGTAACAAAACGTTTTTTTTTTTTTTCTGTTCTTTTTTGTTCGTTTTTTTTTTTCTAATGTGGTAAGGGTTTACAAATTTCTTCTTTTTTCTTTTTACCAGCAAATTTTTTAAATCCATTTACTGTAGTAATAGTAGTGGTACTGTTCGTATTAGTTTTATGAGATGTATTTATGAATTCGTACTCTGAGGTAAATATATGGGGTTGTTTGATGAAGCGTGGTATTGTTTCTTTTGATATCTCCCTATATGGTATTTGGGAAGTTAAAACGTTAGTTCTTGTGATTCCTGCAATTGTCTTTTTTTTTTATTTATTTATTTATATAGATTCAAGGAAATTGATGATATGAACTGAAATAAAGTGCAGTTTCAATTTTTTTTTATTTCGGTTTTTTGTAGTTTCTTTAAATTATCATCGCAAAGATTTCAAAAAAAAAAAAAAAAAATAATAATCAGTCTGCTGTCATTATTGCAAGAAGAGTTCTTTTCTTATTCTCTCTTGATGTATTTGTGTATGTAAGTATGTGTATATTTATTTTTTTTTGGTTTTTCTTGGAAAAAAAAAAAAGAATTTGTGTCTCTTTCACCCTTTTAATTTCCAGTTTGGCAATAGTGTTAGGGGTTAATACGGGGATCTGTTTACCCTTCGTATTTACCATTATCCCATTAACATACGTCAAGTCCCACATAGATTCTGTATACACAGAGACCCACAAACAGGGAAACAGAGAAATAGAAAGAAGGTACAGACACAGATACAAACACTTTCACTCTTTTTTTTTCTCTCTTTTCTATTCTGTGTATTCTAGGCAATCATGACGGAGTATCTAAAGGATCTCGGCCGTATGAAGCCGGGAGATCCCATGCCACCCATCAATCTCGGGCCGTACGATAATCCACTCTTGTGGAATGTACTCGTCCATTCGGGGCCGATCGCGGTCACCAACGCCGTCCAATGTCCGTCTCCCGTAATTTCATGGAATTACATAATGTTCCCGTTGTTTTTCGAGATCAATGTGTACATCGCTGGGTGCCATTTCATCGTTGTATAAAAAATTTGAAACCAGTTACATGGGGAACAGTCAACTGTCATGAATTTGAAGAATCTTGGATGGTATGTCGGGCTTATGAGACATATCGCAATCAACTGTTAAAAGGGAAGTTTATGGAATTAACAAAAGATTACACTGCTGAAGATAAGAAATTTTTCCCTAGTTTGCTCTATTTGGGTATCCCTACGTATATGAATTCTTTCTATTGGGCTATGGCAGCCTCTCAGAGATTAAGTGGATGGGATGAAAAGGACCCTAAAAATCCTATGATGTGGCGTGAACCTAACAGAGCTCTTATGCGATCAGAGTTTTCTCCCACCAACTGGGAAAGGGGAACTATGACGAATGCGATAGGTCACAAACTCATTCCTGATGAGATTGTTTATGATATGGTTCCAGGTTTTCCATTACCAGAAGACAAACGACCTGAAATGCCAGTCTCGTAGAAGAAGACTTTATCGTTATTATTATTATTATTATTATTATTATTATTATTATTATTGGGGCATGGGTGTGGGAACAGTAGTGGGAGTGGGAATTGAGTTCAAGGGAGAAAAAGGGAACTTTTAGATAGGGAATTAGGGAAACTTTGATGGGGTTTTTGTGCGATTAGATTCAGTAGTAATAATGTAGATGATAACAGTTTTCTGTGGTGATTGTGTTGGCGTTTTTCTTTTTTTCTTTTTCTTTATTATTATTTTCTTTTTTTTCTCTATCTCATTCTTAATATCTGTAAAATACTACACAGCTATGTGAGAGTTGTTGTTTTTTTTTTTTGTCGTTGGTCTTCTTCATGTGTTATGTCGAGGTTTTTGCGATAAAAATGAAAGAAGAAGTAGAAAAGGTGAACCAGAGAGAGAGAGAAAAAAAAGAGAATGAAAGAAATAATAGTATTATTAATTGATAGTGTGATATAAAAAAGGTAGCACTAGAAGTTCTGTTTTGCAAGTATGTTGTCGTTGTGTATTATTTTTCTTTCCTCCTTGTTTTTTATTTGCCATATATCTATTTATTTATTTATTTTTTGATACTATGTCTTCAATACGACTACCTATCCATGTGTTTTTCACACTGTCTTCGTGATCACGACAAGGTATGCATCTAAGAAGAAAAAAAAAGAAAAGAATGAAAAAAAAACGTATTAACTTTATTTTCTCTCTTTGCTTTTCTTTCTATTCTATTTTAACCATTTTTTTTTTCTTTCCTTTTCTTAGGGTTTACCCCGATATATCGTGAAGTGGGTCTATTGGGATTTTCTTTTTCTGTCTAAAAGAACCTAGGAGCTCCTGTGTGCTTTTCCTGTTATAATTCCCCTTTGCAGTGAAGGGTAACACCTTCTCAAATACATTCCCTCAGGTAGGGTGGAGTGTTGGTGGTGCTGGTGTTATAGGAGTGGGTAAAGTGAAGTAAAGAGGAGAGGAGAGGAAAGTAAATTAAACCAAATACAATATATATATATATATATATATATATAATATGCGTTTGCCTTCCTCTCGTGTACACACGGTATCAAACATCATGCAGCGTCGAAAAGGTGTATTTAGGCAATCTGAAATGATGATTCCGCAACACTTGTTATTATCATTGGGAATGGACGTGGTCCCAAGTGAAAGTTTCGCAGACTCCCTGCGTTCCGTGTTGCAGGAAGATCTACCACCTTTTCTAGCATTAAAGGTTTTGGGTCTTTGCTGGACCTCGTGGAAGATTAATATTCTTACAACAGGGAAGATACATCTACAACAAGGAGAAACGACGGATGATACTGTAGCCTTTGAGGCGTTACTGACAGCATCAGAGGAAGCATTGCGTTTAGACGGTCAGAGAAAATCGCATGATAATAACGAACGAAGTACTCGTAAACGTAATTCGAGACGACGTGATACCGTTTCAGTGGCAGTAGTGAGTTACTTTGGTTATCATTATATCGTTGAACATATGCTAAGGAGTTGTGGAGATCGATTGAATTTAAAAACAGTGGTATCTTTATTGAAATATGCTGTTACAGTTGAGGAAACAGAAGGTGCTGTTTTAGAAAAACTGGTGGAATTATTAACATCTTTTGCTAAACATGATGTTATTATTTATGAAAATAGTCTTCGAAATGTTCTTAGTGTATCTCTTCCAATTCATGTAGCTCCTGTTGTACTTTCAGTGTTAAAGCGACAATACGTTAATACAGAAATTATTAAATTATGTTTACATTATGTCGCTGTAGTGGTTAGAGGTAAACGTATAGGTACACTTTCTGTTGAAACAGTTATGGGTAAATATCATGAATGTGCGGTAGAAGCCTTTCGATGGTTACTTAAAAAACCAAACTCTCATCATGGAGAATTACATATTCAAGTGATGTCATGTTTAAAACATGCACCAGTTTTTTTACTTTGTGAAGTGTATTCTATAATGGAGCAAAATAAATTTGTGACACCTTCTGTTCAATGTAAATTTCTTGCCAATTGTGGAATTGCTATTGCGGCTAGTAATAGTCTCTCTTATGCGTATGCTGAAGTAATAATTCGAGCATTTAAAAATCTTGCTAAATCTGGTAGAGAAACCATGCATATTGAAGAAGGACTTGTTCATGGTAGTGCTGTTCTTATTGCTCTTCATCGTGAGGAACTTGTACGTAATATTTATAATATATTTCCTACATTACGAGAAACTTCACATTCTGTAATGGCTTATGTGCGTAATAAGGATGTTATTCGTTCTAATGAAGCTCTATTACGACTTGCACAATCACGTGAAGAAGGATGGATTAACATACCTTTACCAGTTATGCAAACTATTTATGATGTTTGTATGTTGGTAGGACGTTGTGGTAATCACCATAATATACTTCCACTTTATCGTGCTCTTGTTTCTTTTCATAATCCTGGTATGATTGTAAGTCAATGTATTGAATACATTTTAGCTGGTATATGTAATAGAATCTCACATCTTGGTAAAGTATTTCCTAAAGAAACACCTCCTCGTACAGTATTAGAGTATATTATTCCATTATTACGTACTACCTTAATGTACTTGGGTGATGATTTTAATACGGATATGATTCTTGAAATTTTAGAAACATCTGTAATGGTAAGATGTTTTGCTGTACCTCTTACGGCATCCATTATTTGGACTTTTCAAAAATCATCAAGTTTAGCATTAAAAGAGTTATTTTCTCGCGTCAATGCATCGACAAATAATATTCCTTTTTTAAATTATTATACTCTATGTTATGCTCGAGATCAAGGTGAATATGAAACGGTAGAACATTTGGCAACTGTTTGGCATTGTGATTCAACAGTTATATTAAAACGACAATCAACATTATCTCCATCCTATAAACTTTGGAAATGTGCTGGATGTGGTAGATTAAATAGTGATCGATTTAATTATTGTGTTTGTGCTGTCCTTCGTAATGGATTTATCTTTTGTGCTAATTGTGGTTATGCACAGGATGAACGATGGGGATGTTGTCAGTCTTGTGGAGAGAAAATAATAATAAAAGATGGATCTATTACGACAGCTATTGTACGGAGATCATGGACATGTGAGGAGTGTGGAGCTAATAATCCAGCCCGCCAAATATCTACTTGTTTTCGCTGTAAAGCATTTTGTGGTCCAGTGGCAAAAGTAGCGAAGGAATTAAAAAAAACAAAAGAATTAAAAGAATTAAAAAGTTGTCATTGCTCTACGAACACATTGGAATCTAGTGAAAAAGAAAATAAGAAAGGAATTATGCATTACTGTCGAAAGTGTGGATGGTTTCGAGAATCATGGGCCGCATCTAACTCTCTGGTTTGGCGCTGTGAGGGTTGTGGTGAGTTAAGAAGTTCATTAGATCGTATTTGTCCCAATTGTCCACAGGTGGATTGTCTTCCTTTTGCTATTGTACGCAATATTAATGATTTACCGTATTGTTTTAAATGCAAAATACAGTTAGAAAACCCTTTTGCTGAGAATTGTCAACATTGTGATGGGATTATATCAGAGGGAAAAGTGGAAATGGGGATAATCCATAGTAATGATACCAATGTGATTCTACGCTGTTCCCAATGTGGGATTGTCACTCGTGGGTCTACATCCGATCACTGTGAAGGATGTGGACAAAGTAAACAAAGTTCTGAATTATTACAGGTTGATTTTCGTCATTGTGAAGGATGTGGTAAGGATATAGAACCCTTTAGAATTGAGGCTATTTGTATTCATTGCGCTCTATTTCTACCTCCGGTTTCAAAGGAAGGGTGGAGTACTGCTGTAGTAAGTGAAACTATGAAGGTACTTATTCAATTACTAGATCGCAATATAGAGTGTAATAACCTTGCAGAACTTTTTCAATATTTTTTACATTCTTTTCAAACCGAAATGGAACTTGAGGTAATGAAGAACACTCGTATGACGGTAATGGAGACTCTTGGAAAGTTACAGACGCATCTGTATCCTTTAGTAAGAAATAACCCAAAGTCACGACGTGTCATTGCATTAGCAAGGCAAATATTAGAATATATAGACACACAGTGTGGTATTATAAATACTACACACTTTTCATTAAATGAGTGTCATCAATGCCTTGGAACCCACAGTGAGGAGCTTTGTGTCTATTATAAAGAATTGTGGGTGTGTGAAGTGTGTGGGGCGGAGAGCGAAAATAATGATATTTGCCGTTATGTGTGCCACAATTGTCTCTCGCTGCGTCCGTGTGTGCGATTGTTGTGTCCCACTGCTGTGTGGGAGTGTCGTTCTTGTCAACGGTGTAATGTGGAGTTTGAGAAATACTGCATTGTCTGCGGGGCAGCGAGAGAAGAGGAAGAGGAAGAGGAAGAAGAAGAAAAACAAGGAAAGGAAGAAGATTTCTACAGTAAGAGTGAAGTATTGCCATTTCTCCCTGCCAAGTGCCGTATATGCGACCGCGTGCACTTGGAGGTGAGTTGTCCTCACTGCGTGTAGAGTAAGAGAGATGGAGAAGAATGATAGGGTTGTTCACAGTACTTTTTTTTTGTATTATTATTTTTTATTTATTTATTTTTTTCTCATTTAATTAATTTTTTTTTTTAATTTTTAATTTATTATTATTATTATTATTATTATTATTATTATTATTCTGTTCCTTCCTATGGTAGATTATTTCTTTCTTTGTTTTTTTCTTTTCTTTGCTTTTTCTTGAAAAAAAACCAACAATGACTCATTGGGATGTATCAAAAATAAAAATAATAAAGCGTTCTATACAGGTAAACAGGGCAGAGTGAAGATAACAAAGAAGAAGAAAAAGAAGAAAAAGAAAAAAATGGGAACTGCAGACTGGAGGCTGGCATCAATGAGTGGAAGTTTGATTTGGGTAACAGGTAAAACAAGGTCCTCATCACAACAGGTACCTCTTTTCTCAGAACTATCACCCACGCTTATTGTGGGTTTTAAAGAGCAAGGTGGTTCCCCTGTTGAATATATAAAATTTTCCTCAGTAGTTTCTGTGGCTCATGAACATCCAGCCACCATCACTTTATCTCGCAAAAATTCATTACATGTCTCATTAATTGCACCATCTTCTGAGGAGTCGTTTAGGTGGTTTAAAGCTGTAGAACTTGCACTCTCGGGTCGAAGAGGGAATTCTTCTTTAACTACAGAGTATCCTTCCTTGAGGGAAATACAATCACAACAAGAACAAGAAGAACAACAACAACAACAAGAAGAAGAGGAAGAAGAAGAACCGTTAGCAAAACTTCAGCAACCGCTTTCGACGACAATAACTCGGACTTTTAGGTTACCAGAAAACACAGCACCAAATGGAGTGCGTCATGATGATAATATTTTACCAAAGTCTCATAAAACAGTAACACTACCACGTAATTTAGCGACGGACAATGTACGTTTTGTAAGAGAAGAAACTATGGTTCCTCATGATATACAGTCTGAAGAAGAAAAAATGAGTTTCCGTCTCCCTCCACGGCCACCTAATTTGAAAGAACAGAAGCATAAAGATAAGGACACGGAGAAATATGCGATTGAAGAGAATATACCACCTAGTTCTTCCCAGAAATCTTCTGTAGAACGTGTTTCCTTGTATAAACCACCAGAACCAAAGTTTAGACTAGTTGATCCAGACTATGCTCTTCTCGAGGATGGAATACAGGAAGGAATCCCATATTTAGATAGAGATAAAAGAGGATATGATAATATAAATTTTTCTTCCTCACATCCTTCCCATCATGGGAGGTCCTCTCTTACACCAATGGAACATTCCCCTCGAAGTCTTCAAGAGATTCCAGAAACACGTCTTCCTTCAGTTTCTACAGGATCTAATACAGATAATGATGTTAACGATAACGAACCCCAGAATATGGAAGGAGAAAGAATGGTACAAGATAATCCTACTTCTCTTCCTAATTCATTGTCTAGTGCTACTACTGCAACTAATAACACAATTGGTGTTAATACTACCAATATAGATGCAGATACCGGATTATCAAAGCAATTAGAACCGAACCAGAGTAAAGTAATGAATGAGAGAGAGTGGAATCATACTTTACCTTCAACTTCTCTTGTTCACCCAAAAGAATTAGAGGAGAAGGATGAAGTGATTAAACAAATAGAAAGGAGTTTAGCGAAACAAGAATTAATTCTTCCTAGTGAGGAAGATCTAACTGGTCCTTTTCTTTTCTCACAGGATAATACATCTGCTATAGCAAAGGATAAACTGGGACACCGTAATAATGATATAATAAATAACGGTGTTAGTAGTCGTAGTAATGCTAATATTAGACCAAATATGGTAAAACCTCAAAAAGAAACTCCTCTGAGAACCTCTATTTTAGCGCCATCCTCTTTAGAGTTGTTGTTAGATGAGGATGACGTTAAAGATGATAATAAACACATAGTTTCATCTTCAAGAGAGCCCTCAGCGGAGACATTTCAATTTGATTACCCGGGTTATTATGGACATAAAGTTGATGATGTCTCATGGGATAAGGAAGATAAATCACAGAAACAAGAAATATCAAATAAAGAAGAAATTGAAAAAAAATCTTTTGATCCTGAAAAAGAAAAGTCTTCTTCTTATGGCCTTTATCGGCATTCTTCAGGTAAATCTGCCACGTCAGTTTTTGGTCCAAATAAATCAAACGTAGTTCCTCGGGAAGAACGACTCCATGACTTTCTCAGGAGTGGAAAAAGCAAGGATCAGATTATACAACAAAGAATAACGACAGAATCCATTATTGACCGAATAATAGAGACACCTTCTCAGCGTGTTCATAAAGATAACATTTTTTCATCTTCTTCTTCTTCTACTCCTGCTCCCATAGTTTATGTACGTGGTATTGAAAGTTCTTTATCACGTAAACCATCGACAGAGCGTGAAGATAGTTATTTGTATCGTCCTATTGAAGCTGTTGTAGCTGCAATACCACGACATAACTCACCTCATACAATAAGAACATTACGGAGATCGAGAAGTGTAGATGGTGGATTTCGACGGAGTTCCGTGAGTCGTTTTTCTTCAAGGGATATTACCCCTTTAAGATTGCCTAGTGTAAGACCTTCTTCTGGGCATGTCCATGATAAGTTACAACGAAATAATGGTCTTTATGACAGACCTAGATATAGTGGTGTAGATAAACGCAACACCGCAAGAAGATCACCTATTCGTGAAAAAACAATGACAGTTAATCATGGAAGGGATTCTCACTCCTTCATTCAGTATGCTGCTGTAGAGATAAATCATCACGATGATGAACTCGTGCATCAAAGTGGCTCTCACAGAGTACGATCACGAAGTCCATCCATGGGTACAAGGCGAAAAAAATCAGAATATAGAGAAAAGGAAAGAGATGAGAGTTATCATCAAGACTGGGCTAAAATTTTGATGGAACCACGACCTTGTAAAAAACATGCCATTCGTAGCTATGGTGGTACTAAACACTATGTCTTTCTTACAGGGGATGGTATGCACGTTGTTTGTATTCCCGCTGTAGTTTTTGAGAGACAGATTCACATGAACTACAGCAAAAGAAACCAAGGTGTATTTGTTTCACTGAAAGAGGTGATGTCTTTCTTTGGTGAAGATTGCCGTGCGATGGCGGTTGAACGCATTGATCATGTTTCATTGGGAACATCAGAGGCGTTGACGCGTGAATGGCATCTGCAACGTTTAGGCCCAGAGAGACTTGTCTGTATTGTATCCCCAACACATGCATTTGTACTTGAGGCGGCCTCTAACGAAGAAGCAGAATATTTAGTTAAGGCATGGAATGCCTTCCTTTTAAATGGGCAAATTGTGTACTAACTCTAGAAAAGAAAGAAAAAAGAAAGAACAAATGGGATGGGACGTGTAACTGTTGTCATATAATCTGTTTTTTTTTTTTTTTTCTTTCTTTCTTTCTTTTTAATTGATGTATTGCGTTTTATCGACCAGAAGAACTCTCATTTCATTTCGTTTTTTTTTTTTTTTTTTTTTTTTTTTTTACGTTGGTTGCTTAGTCTCTCGTTTTGCACGAGCAATTGAAGTAATTTTCATGTCTGTGTATATATTTATATTAGACATCGACTGTGATGTGTTTCATCTTGTTGATATTTTTTTTTTTTTTGTTTTTTTATTTATTTATTTATTCCTTTTTATAAAGAATGCCATAAAGTTGACCTTTATTTCTTAAACGTCAATACATGTTTTTTTTTTTTTTTTCTTTTTCTTTCTTTTCCTTTTTATTCCTTGTTAAAAAAAATTTTTTTTTTTATAATTTCTTCTCTAATGTTGAGAAATTTCTAGTGCTTGACTTTCCATGTCAACGCCGGCGTATCGTGTGGCTAGTCTTCTGCGGCAGGGGAATAGCAGTGACTTTGATGGTGAGAAGAGTACTTTAGCGAAACTAACACGTGATGTGGAGACCTTCTTAAGTCACGCCAGTAATGTTCCCCCGGTAGTGTTAGAAACCCCAAATGGGGGCGACAACAATGATGCCAAATCAACTATAGAAGAACCTGCAGCGATGGAAGTTCACCTTAATGTGGTTGCCGGTGTATTGGAGCCTCGAGAACCCACAAGTGATGTCTCCAGAGTCGATGGTTTATTGCTGCCAACCACAACCAATCACGAAACACTTGATCGACAACATGTGCGGGAGGCACAGGCATTGTTAAATCTCATGGGAGCACTTTCTCCCACCACCGTCATGGGCAATTTATCTCAAGTAGCCTCAACAACAACAACAACAACGGCTAGTTGGCAGGGTGAAATGAATGTTACAGGGACTGATGAAGATACCGACTCGGTTGCTGTTTACGATGCGGAAGACTTGAACGATGACACAAGTACTTCATACAGTGATGAAAGTAGAACAAATGATCAGGGTTCTACACGTATTGTGGAGTTAAACTAAATTCAGTATGTGCGAATAAGAGCGTTCTGAAACTGCCATGGTTTCTTTTGGGGTTGTAAAATGCATCCCTTTTTAAAGAACTATGTGTCTATAAATACGTTTAAGGTTTGCTTGGCTCTTGTCTCCCTTTTTTTTTTGTTGTTGGTTTTTTTTGATTCCTTTTGTGTTTCTTTTTGTTTTTGTTTTTTTTCCTTTTTCTTGTTGGTTCCCAGAGAATCTTATTTATTTACTTTGTTTTCTTTTTTTTTTCTTTTTGAATAATTATTTTTATTATTGGTTTCTTCTCACAGCAAGTAGTCCCACAGACACACGCATACCCATAAGAAGAAAGAAGGAAGAATTTAAAATAGAGAGTGAATAAAAAAGAAAAGGAAAAAGCAAAGTAAAGAAAGGAAAGGAAAAAAGTAAACAACGGCAGGACGTTTTCAAGCTAAATCCATTAGTAAGTAATTAAAAAAAAAAAAACAACAAGAGGGGAATATGCGGCGCTTCACAAAGACTCCGTTTGCAATGAATGCGGTAGTAGCAGTAGCGACGGCATCTGTGCGATCCCTGTACAGTCCGCTGGTGGAGGATCACTACAACAACCCCCGTAATGTTGGCAAACTTGATAAGGAAGACCCCAATGTTGGCACGGGGCTTCGAGGGGCACCGGAGTGTGGAGATATGACACAAATGCAAGTAAAAGTAAATCCCGAGACGACTGTAATTGAAGATGTGAAATTTAAGGCATTTGGTTGTGGAAGTGCCATCGCAGCATCCTCATATGCCTCACAAGCGATACGAGGAAAAACACTTGCAGAGGCGTTGGAACTTACTAATAAGAAAATTGCACAAGAACTTTCACTTCCCCCCGTAAAGTTACACTGCTCTATGTTAGCACAGGAGACTATACAGGCAGCTGTAGAGAATTATCTCTCAAAGAACCCTTCACTAAAGTCAAAGGTGCAAAAGAAAGTTCCAGGAGGCACTGCTGGCGCCACCGTGAATAATTCCAGTAACGCTTAGAAATGGAAAACAAGAATTACCCTTACCCCTCTCCCCCCATAAGGCCAAGGGGAAAAAAAGGGGATAATGTGTGTGTGTGTGAGGGTGAGAGAGAGAGAGAGAGAAAGGAAAGTGGGGAGTTGTGTTGGAGCAGACTATCTAATTAATCTCACGTTGCACCCCATATTTTCTCAGTGTTTTTTTTTTTTTTTTTCCTCTTGCTGAACCCTTGTAATGCAGTGTATATATCTATGTGCGTACAAGTTTATATTTGGCATTTATATTTCACAAAGGCAAACGAACGATCATGCGATTATTCCCTTTTATTATTATTATTATTATTATTATTATTATTATTATTATTATTATTATTATTATTATTATTTATTTACTTATTTATTTTTACTGCTACTGTTGCAACTGATGTTTCTGCTACAGTTAGTTCTGGTAATTTCGCAGATACTCAAAGTAGGAGAGAAAACAAAGTATTTTTCGGAGCATTACTACAAAGGAGAAGTAAAGGGAAACAGCAGAGCGTCAGTAAAACAGGGTATGATGTTACTGTTTTTTATGATATTATGGGGGAATATGATGGTAATAAGAAGCAAATCTTGTTTTTGTATCCTTTTCTTTTTTTCCTTTTTATATATATGTTTCTCTGTTTACTTTTTTTTTTTACTGCCTTTTTTTTTTTCGTTTCTGTTTTGCTTTCATTTCTCTTGTTTTTTACATCTCTGTATTTCCCTCTGTGTGGCCCTCAGTCTTTTTCGCACAGTCTGATGATTTATTCTTTTTTGTGACCCCCACAGGTATATGTGGGTTGGGGTTAATGGAGAGTGTTATTCCATCTAACATTGCGAGAGGATTAGTGAGGTATTCTTTTTTTTTTTCTTCACTGAATGATAAAAAAAAAAAAGGAGGAGAGAGTGAGAGAAAGAGAGGAAGCAAAAAATAAAAAAAAAATGAAAAAAAAAAAAAACAATAATAAAAGAAATTCCGTGTCGTCTTCTGCTGTAAGGCAGATTAAATCGATATCCCTTTGATGAAAAGGAAAGTGACGGTTTTTTTTTTTTCTGTTGGTACGTTGAAAGTGAACAGAGAAGCAGAAAAAAAAAAGTTTGAAAAAAAAGGTTTCTTTTTTTCCCTTACAAAGGTGACATCTGGCCGTTTCAAAATAATCAGTTTTAACTTTTCTCATCTTTTAGTATTTTGGGATAGGAAAGCTATGCAATAATTAAGACAACGACAAAGTGAAGAAGAAGAGAAGTGAGAAATGACAAGAAAGGAAAAATTAGGGTGTTACTAAATACCATGCATTTTGAGTGTGGAAACTTGAAAGCGCTGCTACTGTTTTTCTTGATATTCTTGCTACTAGTGAGTGATTGAGTGAGTGCGATTGTTATTTTTTTTTTCTGTATTGGGGCGTGTGTCTCTTCATGTTTGAATCCCATTTTGTATATTGTTTTTCTTCTTCATTTACATCTGGTTGATCAAATGCGCTGTTTTTTTTTTTTTTTTGCTCTTTTTTTTCGTTTTGAAGCTCACATTTAGACACAGAAGGTGTGAAAAAAAAAAAAAAAGAATTAGTCGGAAACGAGAGCAAAATCTTAAAGAGGGATTAACTTTTTTTTTTTTTCCCACCTTCTTTCCGAGGAGCATTGTGGTTGTGTATATATCTACAAATAGTCTGTGTATAGAAAGATACAGATAATTTTCCTTAGTCCTTCTTTTTCTTGCTATATTCATATAAATATATCTATCTCTCTATCTATATTATATAATATAGTCATGTCGGTGGTGTTATCGACAACTAAGGGTAATCTGCTCATTCATCTTCGTTACACTGATTGTCCGAAGGCATCTTTTAACTTTCTCGCACTCTGCGCTTCGGCTTACTACGACGGCTGTCGATTTCACCGCAATGTTCCCAAAGCCTTTGTTCTGACCGGAGACCCAACCGGAACAGGAAAGGGTGGTGAATCTGTCTTTGCTCCTCAAGAGCGGTATTTTGAAGATGAGGGGCTTGGAACGGTTTGTCACGACCGTCGTGGTGTTGTTTCTATGGCTCATAAGGGTAATAAACCCAATACAAATGCTTCACAATTCTTTATTTTGTTTCAACCTTGTCCATCACTTGACATGAAACACACTGCCTTTGGTGTTGTAGATTTGGAATGGAATGAAGGTGAAAGTGAAAAGACACTTAGTAAACTTGAGGAGCTTCCAGTGGATGAAAAGCATAATGTGCTTGATTTGGAGGCTAAGATTATCGGGGCTACAGTGTTGTACAATCCTTTTGCTGAGGGACATATTAAACTAGAAGTTTAATATCTTTTAGTTGTACATACCAAAAAAAAAAAAGATGTATGGATTTTTCTACAGTCCATAGTTGTTTCCTTTTTTTTTTTTGAAAGAAAAAAAAAACTGAAGGGGACATAGATGTTATCAGCAACAGCATTACCCTTTTCTTTTTCCCCTTTTCCATGTTGAGAAATCGTGCAGTCAAGTAAAAGTCTGAGGATTATGAGCGATGAAACCACAAAGAGTGGTGAAACATCACGCAAGCGTCCGCGAGATCCACCTTTTGTAGAGGATTACCGCCCCTATACGGGACGCCAACTGGCGCATGTACTTGAGCGTAAGGCCACTCATAAAGAAAATTGGGATCTCTACTACCGGAATAATACAGTAAATGGATACCGTGACCGACATTATATTATACGTGAATTTCACGAACTCCGAGAAAAACTTGAACAACTAAAAAAGGATAAAGCACCAGTAGAAGTATCAGCAACCACAGAAACAAAAAAAGGAACAATGAAACCAACTTTATCTGATGATGATGTTGTTCTCTGGATGGAAGCAGGATGTGGTGTTGGTAATGCTATTTTGCCTATCCTTGAGGAATATGGTAATATTCCAGGATGGGGTATTGTAGGTTTTGACATTTCATCTGTCGCAATTGCACTACTACAGGAAAAACAGAAGGCTCTTCCTTTTCACATGCAACAAAAACTTGTTGTTCGTGTGCTAAATCCAGTTGAAGAAAATATTACTATTTCTGATTCATCTTCTACTTGTACTTCTACATTTATAGAAAAACCCGTGGATTTTGTCTCAATGATCTTTGTTTTATGCTCTATTCCTGTAGAGAAACACAAACTAGTGTTACAACGTATAACCTCATGCTTAAAAGATAATGGTATTTTTTTCTTTCGAGATTATTGTGTTGATGACCATGCAGAAAAACGTTTTGCTACATGTCGTCAAGTTGAGGAAAATACATTTGCACGCAGTAATGGGACATTGAGTCATTTTTTTTCTCTTGTTGAGGTTCGGGAACTTTTCCAGGCGAATGGTTTCGAAGTAATAGAACTCTCAGTAGTTGAAAGAGAAGTGCAAAACAGGAGAGAAGGTATGAGGCTGCATCGAAGATTTCTCCAGGGACGGTTTCGCAAAATGGAAAAAAAGGGGTGAATGTATATAGGTCTGCAGTCTATAGTGTTTCCCCTCTGGATTTCCGACGAGTAAACGTATAAAAGATGGTTTATATTGATTTTTTTTTTTTTTTGTTGCTTGTTTTTTTTTTTTTTCCTCGTTCTCCTTTTACATGTTAAAGATTCCCCCTGGTTATTCATGTTGAGGGTGATAATTCCGTTTTTGTTTTTCTCTCTTTCTCTCTCTCTCTTTTCTTTTTCATATTCCACTCTTGTAAACATTACCCCCACATGTACCAACCCTCTAGCGTTGACAACCACACACTCACACTCACACTCTATCTCAAAAGAGAGAGAAGAAAAAAAAATAAATAAATAAACAAGAGCAACAGCGGTCATTTTTTTTTTTTTTTTTGCATCTTCGTCCTCCCTCTTTTTCTCTCTCGTATGGGTGTTCACGGGCTGTGGCGGCTGCTGGACCCGCTCGGTGAAGTCACGCAGCCGGCGGAGTGGCGGGGGCGGCGGGTGGCGGTCGACGCGAGTATTTGGATCGCGCAGTTCCGCGCGGCCGGCGGGGGAGCCGACGGGGCGGACGGGGCCGCTGGCGGGGAAGACCGCCGGGTCCTCGCCGGGTTCCTGCGGCGCCTCCTCAAACTTCTCTTCTACGGCATACGCCCCGTGATGGTCTTCGACGGCGCCCCGGCAGCCGCAAAGGCCGCAGAGAGGGACAGACGACACGCAAGACGCGCGGCGCAGGAAAAGGCCGCCATTGCACGGAGAGCAGGCGAAATTCTCGCAGCACAATTGGCAGCCGGTGTCCTTGACGTGCACACACTACCCCGTAAAAGTCCAAAGAAGACCGAACAAGCTTCGAGTTCATCATCATCATCATCACCTTCATCATCATCACCTTCATCATCATCACCGTTACTGCCATCACTACCACTACCACCCCCCTCAGTAACACGCAAGAGACACCGGTCAAGTCACGTGGCACCAGAGGTTGTCTCACGTGCAGTAACAAGTGCATTTTTAACGGAAGCAGAAGACTGGATCGAACAACGTAAAAGGGGTGAAATTTGTGTAGAATCAAATGCTTTGGGATACTCTAGTACTTCACTTTTTATGGGACCTCGTAAGGTGTTAGAGGAGGCAACAGGTTCTCCCATATTTGGTGAAGAGCTTCCTAGTTGCGCTACTAGTTTATCAGAAGAAGTACAGTCGATCCTTTCCATAAGGAGTACTGACGAATCACTTGAGATAATTTCCAAAGGTGAAGAAAAAAAAATGGTTGAGATAGAAAGTGATGATAACGATGATGATATTTATGGTATGATACCAAGCGGTAATAGTAGTAATAGTTCGGTTTTGGTTGTTGATGGTAACTCAAAAACATTTTTGAGTTCTCTACGCGATTTGGAAGCAGAAGAAGCAATGATGATGAGTAACTCTGTGGGTAGTAGTTGGTGTAATAATTCTTTAGAAGAAGAAGGAGAAAAAGTGAATATTGATACCACAAGTTCCAAAAGTCGGAGTAGTATTCCCAGAAGCAACATGAGTGAAACAACAAGTACAAGCAAAAATAATGATGATGATATCATCCTTTGGAATCCTGGTACTCAACTTCTTCAGCGAAAAGAACCCGAAATAAATACCGCATTAAGTAATGAATTATCTGATGGGGAAAGTGAGTCATTTACACCAGTTTTAATCAATACCACGAAGGGAGAAAGTGGTGTTGCAGAAGAAGTAACGTCGAAAAGGGAGAACTTATCTGAAAAATTAGTATCATCATCATCAGTAGAGGGTGTATTACCATTACCACCTCATCTTCTTCGACAACAAATTTCTACAAGGCAGGTAGTACCATTTGATTTACTTGGAATTGTAGAATTACTTGATTGTTGTGGAATTCCATTTGTATTTAGTCCCTATGAAGCGGATGCCCAGTGCGCTTTTCTAAGTCAACAACGTCTTGTAGATGCGGTATTCACAGAAGATAGTGATGTAATTGTTCATGGAGCTGATATTGTTCTTCGTGGGTTTTTCGCAAAAGGACGTCATGTGGTAGCATATCGCCAAGAAGATTTATTAGAATGTGGTGTAGACAAAGATGTCTTAGTATCTCTTGCCCTTCTTCTTGGTTGTGACTATGCTGAAGGTGTTCATGGTCTTTCCTTATTGGATGCCCTGCATGTAATTTCCTCGGTATGGCGACAAGGGGAAGGTGTTGGTCCCACACATGTACTGAATATGTTATCCTCCTGGCGAACTGCAACCCAACAGCAGTGTTTTTCATGGTTTGATGATATCCCATTACTGGAATTTTATACTAATTGTAAAAAGTGGAGAAAATTGCAAATCGCTGCAGACTTTCCACAAACACGTGTTGTTGATGCTTTTTTTAATCCCATAGTGGATGCCGATAATACGCCATTTGCTTCTCGTTCCCCAGATTGGGAACGATTACGCAGATTTGCGAGTGTGAATGGATTACTTGGTAGTGATGCTTGTCGCAAACGTTTGGAGTTAGCTCAAAAGGAATTTATGGCAAGAGAATCACAAACTACGAATGTGTTAGATCCCCAGCAGTTGAAGTTAACAGACTTTAAATTGTCGTCTAAAACAAGAAAGAGGTATGCATACAAAAAACAGTCGCTAAAGTTTGCAGAAGCGTTGTCCACATTACGTACTGTGAAACAGATGGAGTGAATTTGTAGATACTTCGTAAATTTTGGTGACCATAACGAATGACAGAGAGAGCAAAAGAAAAAAAAAAAAAGATTCAACAACAACAACAATAATAGGGTGAAACGAAGGGCAAAGGGGAATTATGTGCATTAATACACTTTGATTTATTAAATTCTTTCACACACACACGCACGGTTTATTGTGCCCTCTTTCTAAGAGGGAGAAGAGAACTGTTTTTTTTTTTTTTTTTGTTGTTGTTCCTTTTTCTTTTTGTGATATTTTCAATCTGTGTTTAGGTGTTTTTGTGTATGAATGTACAAAAATTTCCTTTTTCATCTTTTTTTTTTTTTTTTTGTAAACCCTATTCTTACCTTATCTCTGAGGTTTTTGTTTCTTTATGATAGAAATACACTGATATTCTAAATATCTATTTGTAGGAGAAAGTAATCAAAAACAGAAAAAAAGAAAGACATTGTTGTTCGTAAATAATAATAAAAAGAAAAAAATGGATAGCTTAAAACCCGAAGAAAACAATGGTAAAGAAAATGGGGCTACCAGTGAAATGTCAGTGGCATTACATTCATCGGATAATGAAGATAATGAAATGTCAGAAAAACATTCTCCGCTTGAAAAGGATGGATCATCATCACCAAAATTTGATGCTTTCGGTATGCCAGCATATGTACCACGTTACCCACTGGAGCAAAGAATTTATGAAAGTGTATTAAGTGTTCCATGGGATTTGCGTACACCAGAGCAATCATCCATTAGCTGTACGTTTTTTGACTTTTTACGCGCAGGAAAATTTTGGCGACAAGCAGAATTTGCACTTCGTATTACTCTGTTTGCTGTTCTCGTACCTTCTGCTATTATTGCAGCAGATGTACCAAACTCACCTTTTGTATCCACAACATTTGTTCTCTCTGCAGGTGTATTGGCATCCAAGGTAACTGTAGGTGAGGGTTTATCCTATCTTTTAATGTGGATACGTGCTGGTTGTATTTGGCTTCCCATTGCCACTATTGGAGCTGCTATTGGACTTGGTAATTATATTGTTGCCTGGTGTTTCTTCTACACTATATTTCTCTTTATTATGGCAGTTTTAACAGAAAATATGGTACGTCGTATTTGTCTACTACTTTTTAACAATTGTATGATTGGTATATTAGTTCATCCTGAACGTACATCTGTTTATCCATCACGAGTGATGGTAGATTGGTGTATTGGTACAGGTCTTTGTTTATTCGCAACACTCGTGCCGTACCCTTTTTACTCAAAGACAGAAGCAGAACGCACTATTGGACGGATAGCACGGAATACAGGAGCTGCTGTAGTTGGTTTGGCATCTTGTTTTTGGTCAGACTCTAATGTGAAACGAAATATGGCCATGACAAAGGTTCGTATGCTTACCACAACAATAGATGAAGAGTTAAAACAATTTTATCATGAACAAGAACATTCCTATTATGAATTTTTATTTGATTCATGGAAGGTTCGAGATGTACGAACTTTAAAGATACAACTATTTGAACGTCTTCGTACAAATTTACGTGGTTTATCTCGAGTACTTGATATTGTGGAATCAAGGCCATGGATAGTGGATGACTCTGAGAGATCCAGAGCTTTTGGTGAATTACTTACTCCCTATATTATTCTATTTGCTGGTACTCTAGATAAACTTACGGATTCTCTTGCTAATGCTAAGACATATGAACAAATTAGAGCTTTACATGCTGATTTTATTGAATTAAATGATGCCACAAGAAGACTTCAGCGTGAGTATAATGAAGCTCGACGAGTATTATTCTACGAATATAAAACAAGGGCACTTGAAGAATTTGTTCCTTTGATGACTTTCTTCATTTTTTCAATTGTTAATTTTCGTGATACTATGCTACAACTTGATTGTGATGTACACAAACATGAATACAGATGGCGTGATTCCATTTCTCAAATTTTTAATAGGGCATTGGGAACCCCTATTACAGATAATATAAAATTCTTTCGACTACTTTTTACACAAATGCGTCGTCGAGAGATTCAACGTGTGATTGAGGCAGCCAAAGTAAGTGCCGCAATGATTCTCACCGTTGGATTTTCATTCCTTATCGGTACTGATAAGAGAACACTCTCTGGACCAAATATTATTGCTTTCGTTTCTGGCAGTAATCCAGTAGAGGCTGTACAGGCTTCTATAGTTCGACTGACTGCATGTATTCTTGGTACAGTTTTGGGATTTTTCGCTGGTACTTATTCCACCTCACGTGTGGATAAAGTTGCATCTTTATGTACACTTATGTGTGTAGGAACATTTTTTCGAACAGATAAGGAATATGGTATTATGGCAGTTTACGCAATGTTCGTTTTAATTCCCTTGGACACAGTTGATGATACAACAACAGAAGATACAATTTCTCGTATGAATCAAATTACATTTGGAATTCTTATTTATGTCTTGATAAGTGTTCTTGTTTTACCACTAAGCCCAAGTTTGATTTTACGTAAGAAACGTATTAATATTCTTATCAAGGTAAGTGAAGCTTTAACAAAACTTTGTGGTCTCTTCTCAGAACCGTTGCCTATTGGAAACATGCGATCTACCAGTATTCTTAGGAATGAAAGAGGGGCAAATGAAGATTTGGATGAATTAAAGGGATCGAATGACTTTTCTGCCATGTTAAATAGGAGCACTCGCCTTATTATTCGTACAGATGAAGTTATGAAAGAAATTGATGTTCTTTTAAATGATATTGAAAGAAGACTTAAAGGAACATATATGTTTATGGGATTTGCACATGAAGAACGTGGATTGGTGGCTGTGGATTATCCAGTAAAGGCATGTGAGGGGGTATCACTTCATCTTCACCGCATGGTTTCTCTACTTAAAACGATGTGGTGTAGTTGGGATGTGATGAGAAGTCAAAAATATTATACACCTGAAACTCGTCAAATTCTTCATACTTTACAACCAATTGCTTGGGATGCTTGTAGATCATTTTGTCGTTTTGTAAGTATGTTATCTTATTTAATTCGGAATCCTACAGTTGCACTAGAGACAGATCTTATTGAAGTAATATTGGAGTTTATGCAAGCTGTAGAAGAATTACACCTTCGCAAAAATCAAATTATGGTGTATGTTATTAATGCCTCTATTGATCGATTTAATCGTGCACGTGTGGAACCAACTTCTCTCTTTAAGGAACCATCAAATGAATCTATGATCGCTAGAAGAGAAAAATCCTCTCTTCTTATTAAACGCTGCAATAAGCCTCACTCTGCGGATAGTAATACATTCCTTCCTCTTCTTCGCAAAGGAACAAATGTGAATATCGCAGAAGAAGAAGAAAAAGAAAAAGAGAAAAAAAAAGGTGAAGATCTTGTGGTCCTTTCAGATAGTTTCACCTTACCTGTAACAGGTGAAGATGCAGAGGGATTACACTCCTTCACACTTAGTTTACTGATGTTCTCTGAGGAGTCTAAATTCTTGCTCATGAACTTTGAAGAAATGGTGGAGGTTGCGCGAGACAAGATGCATTGAATCTATTAATGAATGTAGAGAGACAAAGAGAGAGAAAAAGAAAGAAAGAAAGAAAGAGAGAGAGAGAGAGAGAGAGAGATGGTGAGGAAGTGCGATATAAAGCTGCAAAATATAAATTTTAAAAAGAAAAGTAATTTTAAGAATAAGAGGTGGCGAATCTCAAAAGCATAACAAAAGAAAAGAGAAAGAGAAAGAATGAGAGAAAAGGCAAATACACGAACATATTTTTGTAGAAATAAAGTCCAATACAGCAATAGGCAACGAGTGTAATTTACACACTTTATCTCTCTTTTTCATTTGTTTTGTTGTTTTTTTTTTTTTTTTTGTTTTGATTTCATGCGTTTTCTTTCAAGGGGAGTCCCTCTGGTAAAAAGAAAAAAAAAAATCTTCTGTTCTTCTTTTTTTTCCCCTCTTCCTCCTTTTTTTTCTTTTTCTTTTTTTTATCTTCTCTTCTTTTAATGTTGTGGTGTTCACGAGGATTACCGTTCTTGCCACTGGGCGTCACCCAACTATTTTCTTCTTTTATTCAAAAGAAGAGAGAAAAAAAAAAAAAAAGAGCCTTTGTATTGGAAAATAATGGGGAAATGTGTGGGAAACAGCAATTGTCTGGAAGATAGGAACTTCGATTGATTTTTCTTTTCTTTTGCTTTTATTGTTATGATTGTTTATATCTTCTTTACCTCCTTATCTGCCCATGTATACACACACGTGTTTGTATATACACACATCTACCTAATGTAATCCGGTGTAATATACATATATGCACGTATATGTATATATGTGGAGTTTTTTTTTTTTATTATTATCATTTATGCCTTATTATTATTATTATTATTATTGCTGTTTATCATTTGTTTCTTTCTTTCCTTCTTACACTCACTCCCCTTCAAACATGTATCTATTTGTATTCCTTTCCAATTTTTTTTTTTGCCTTCTCTGTTTGTGTGTGTTTTTTTTTCTTTCCTTCTATTTCCTGTGAATCAGGGTAGAGGTGGGCGCTCACATTCGGTATATTGCCACATATCATTCTTGTAATAAACCCCCTTTTATTTGAGGTTAAAAAAAAAAAAAAAAAAAAAAGAGGGGCAAGAAGTCAAAAGGGGGAAATAAGAAAAAGAGAAGGAAAAAGAAAGAAAAAAAAAATAATAAAATGAGGAAGAATTGTGGAATGAATAAGGAGAGGGAAAGAAAGGAAAATTGTTTCTTTTTTTTTTTTTTTGAAGAATTAGAAAAGTAAATAAAAGAATAAAAAATATAAAAAATAGCTGAGGATTGTTGAGAGACGTAAAGGAAGAAAAAAAAAAAAATAGTTTAGATCGTAAGGTCACATCTATTTGCGCTCTAATTTCGTAATAGCTTGTTTGATGGTTTTTGTTTCTTTTTTATTTTATTTTATTGTATCTAATATATATATATATATATATATATATATATATATATATATAAGAGAAAAATAACATGGTCCTTTTTTTTATTTTGTTTCTTTGTACTTGTGAATTCATCTGTACGCTGTAGCGATTGAATGAGAGGAGGAGGGTTGAGCCAATCTATAGCGCTACATGTATCTCTTTTTATTATTATTATTTTTCTTAAGGATGCTCTTAGGATAAAATCTTGTACATTGATAATAAATAGATGGGGATCTTTTAATACTATTGTAAGTACCACGAGTACGTCTATATATATAAATATGTATTTGTATGTATAGATTTACCTACATTCATCCACCTACTGTAGAAAAAGAGTTCTTGGTAAAGCAAATATGATTAAATCATTTCTGTTTTAATAGTGATTGTTATTTTTCTTTTCTTTCTTCTTGTATCTATTTATTTGTTTTCTCTGTTTTTTTTTCATTTTATTTTATTGTGCTTCTTCTTTTAAATGTTTTCCGGTCTTTTTCCTTTTCATTCTTCTTCTTTCTTGCTTTAAATAAAATAAGTGAATAAAACGATAAACGTAAGGAAAAAAGATTCAGAGATCTATGTCTGTTGTGTTACCACTCACCGTTTGCCCGTGGAACACACACGCACACACATAGACACAGACAAACACACATACGCGTCTAATAATAATAATAATAATATATATAAATATAAATAAATATATATATATATATATATATATATATTATTTGGTTTGATCCTTCGTGGATAGTGTTATTTATTTATTTATTTATTTATTTGTTGGTTTCTGTTGTTTGTTTATTATTATTATTATTATTATTTTTATTATTGTGCTAAAAAATAAAAATAAAAAAAAAAAAATATATATATATATATATATATAGTAAAATGTCGCATAGTAATCCACCGTTGGTGAATGAGTCCTTTGTGACTGTTGGGAGTGCGGTGGGGGCGGACGTCATTTCACTCCCGGAGGATGTTTCCACGTGGCAGATCCTCAAGAGTTTCTTCATCACCGGCGCCCCACTCACAGTGGCCACCATCTCGCAGTTCTCCATCGTGACGGTTCTTCTCTCCGTCGTCGGCAAAACTTTAGGGGTCGACGAACTCGGCGGGGCAACACTCGCACTCGGTCTTATTAACGCCACCGCATTTGCATTCGCCGCCGGTTCCTGCGGGGCTCTCGAAACGGTACTTTCACACACTTATGGTATTAATCAAGCTCAAACAGGGGGAAGAGGGACTATGTACATGTACGGTACCTATACACAACGTATGTTGATCATTTTGCTTATTCTTACTATTCCATTAGGGATTATATTAATATATGCAGATGTATTTTTGGAATATATTGGACAAAGTCCAGAAGTTGTTCACTTTACTGGACGATTTTGCCGTGTTGCCGCATTTGGTATTCCAAGTATACAAGCTTTTCAAGTATTGGGTCGTTATTATGCTTGTCAACATGCCACTACACCTCTTTCAGTGGCATCTGTTGTTGCATCTTTAATGAATCCTCTTTTGCAAGTAGCATTTATTAAATTATTTGGATTTGATGGTTCCCCTGTGGCATGGTTATTTCTATTTACTGGAATTGATTGTGGTTTGATTGCGTATGCCTATTACTCTGGTCTTTACAAACAAACATGGGCTGGATGGGATGCGAACGCATTTCGAAATATTGGACAACTAGTTAAACTTGCTATTCCTTCTATGGCGATGATGTTAAGTGAATGGGTTGCTATTGAGGTGATTTGTATTTGTGCGGGGTTTGCTCAACCATTTGAATTAGCAGCTTTTTCTATTACAATGCAAGTATTTGGTATATCATGGGGTATTGCTTCTGGAATAATGATACTGGTTACAGTTTTTATTGGAAACGCTATTGGAGAAGGTAAACCAGTATTAGGTAAACGTATTGCTAAGACTGCTATAGTATTAGTTTTTGCTATTGCACTCTTTGATGTTACCCTATGGTGGTCTTTGGAAGATCATATTCCTAGTTTATTTACAGATGATGAAAGAGTGGGTGGAGTATATCGAAGACTTATGCGTATTGTGCTTCCTTATCATATATTTGACACCTTTCAAAGTACTGTTATGGGTATATTACGTGGGTGTGGATTACAAAAAATCGGTGCTCTTGTTATTACTACAGCGTTATGCATAGTGGGTTTACCAGTTGCATTTATTCTCTTTTTTCGTGTTAAATATGGAATTGAGTCTTTATGGATAGGACCTTTTTCTGGTGTAGCCTTAGTGGGAACACCCTCTTACATTTACTTACTTTTCTGGTACATTGATTGGCCTAACTTGCGTCCACATGAGGAAGGTACACAGTCATTTGAAGAGGATAGCTATTCACCGCGGCGAGTGAGTGTTGAAGGGATGGAGGTGGTGGTGGAAGTGGAGGAGGAAAATAATCATTCAAGGGGAGTTCCCACTAATGGTGATAATAATAATAATAATAATAATAATAATAATAATAATA